CAGAACTAAGAGCAAAGTGTGAACAATTTTAAGTCAAACCACTCACACACACTTTTTCACCATTTACAGCAGATATTTATAATTAACCAGTGTTTCATTAAAGAAGCTACAACAGTTTCATCTTGAAAAATACAACGGCAGACAACAAATTCAGTGAAAAGATGATTTATTTTATTTAATATTGTAGAATTGCCTTTGATTCTGAGACCAATGAATCCAAATTAAGGTGGAAATCTGTAGCTACAAAATGTGTAGTTTTATCTTTAGAAGAGGTTTTCAAATAACAGCTTGTTTTACACAAGCTTCACTGAAACGGGGGTGAATAGTGCAAGTGTTGAGCTCAGCAGTGCATTAGTCATACAGTGAATTAAATATAAAATGAAAACAAAACAGACAAAAGAGCATTATAGCTTATAGTTACAACTATAGAAGCCGAGAGGAGCTTAGAAATTAATTTTCTGGCTTTTTTTTTTTGTCCAGGTATCAATATTCAGGTGTTCTTTTGTTGTCCAAATAGTTTGTTTCGTTATCACAAGATCATGCTCATTTTATCAGAATAATGAGTTCTCTTTGTTTCAAGATAATTCTCATTTTCACAGTATAAAGATGAAGCTTACCGTATTTTTCGCCCTATAAGTCACAGTTTTTTTGCATAATTTGCATGCCCTGTGACTTATACGCCGAAGAGACGTATTTATGGATTTTTCTCATATTTATAAACCAATTTTTGGCTGAGATGTGACCGTTTTCATTCTTTCTGACTGAATATATCGAACACTACCATTTTCTGCCATTAGATGGCACTCGAGGTGTAAGGCATGCTGTTGTATCATGTAATAGGTAAAAGTGGCTATTAATGACACAATCAGCTTGCCATAAACTGCCACCTTCGTCCAGCTCACCTGGAGCAACCATCAAATCAGCTTCATTTCGCTGCGCTGGCGAAATGCAGCTGATTTGATGGTTGAAGTGCATTTATTAAGTAAAAGTTAAACTGAGACACACCTTTGCTATAATTCTGAGCAAACAAACAATTGTTTTTAAGTGTTAATCTTGTTAAATTCTTCTTAAAGTTCTCCTGTGCACCCCCCCGTGGCCACCGTTTGGCAGCCAATCGATTTTTGGCACAACACCGGCCCACGTTTCCGGGTTCGGCACGCATTTTCAGGTTGTCAGCGGTGACGAGTAACAAACGCACTGCGGCAACGGTGACGTATACGGCGAAGCGACATATTTATGGATTTTTCCACTTTATTAGACATATTTGGACTGATGCGACTTATAGGGCGGTGCGACGTTTACAGCGGAAAACACGGTAATCTCTTTTTACCGTGAGTACCGGTAATCAAGATAAGTTGTCTCTGTTTCAAGATAAAGCTAATTTTGTCAAGTTGTTTATAAAGTTATCTCAACATAACAACTTGTTTTCTTAATAAGATAAAGCGGCCTTGTTATCTTCAGATAATAAAATAGTTAACTCATTTAAGACATTTGCCTCAAAGTTAATAGCCGGTACGTTTGTTCTCGGCTTCTGTAGAACCCGTTTTCATGGGCTCAAAAGAGAAACAATATAAAACAGAAAAAACTAAAGTTAATTGTGGCATACAGTCAAAGCAAATGTTTTAGTGAATAGCTTAAATAAAATACATTAAATGTGTTTTGTAATGAATCGCTCGTTTTAAATGTGGGAACAACCAAAATGTGAAGGATACAGAGAAAAACGTTTAAATTTTGTATTCTTGTTCTGCAGCATGAGAACAGTTTGAGAAAACACAGAGGGGTCAAATCTGCCAAAAGGCCTTTTATCTCTAGTGTACCTTTCGCAGCGTCCACTTCATCAGCTTGCAGGATTGAGTCCCTCTTTGCAATCAGCTGCTGCTCGCGCTCGAGGTGGAGGAAGGTCGGTGTTCCTCTTCACCAAAGACCGAGCTCGGAAATCTTCTGAAAAGACAAAAACTCGCACCCTCGGCTGTTGTGAGGCAGGAGTTGAGCATCGCACTTTAAAGAGTTACCAACTTATGTCATTAAAAGCCCATCTGTGTTTTGGAGTCGTGCAGAGAAACGGTGGTTTGTGTTCAGACGCAGCTGCTCAGCCTCTTTGCACACGAGTCGGATCAACGCTCGCAGAGGTTCGTTTCATTTTCCACCACTAATACGGCAAAGTCTTCTCGTTACACCTACGGCTGCTTGACAAAGTCCTTCAGGTTTTATCTTCCCGTCTCTTCACGTCCACGCTCCCTGCTTGCCACCGAATCACAAACCACCTGTCAGATTAAAGCAGATTAGCGATTGTAAAGCACATTAAGTGTCTCTGCGTGCCGTCAACGTTAAAAGGAGCCATTTGGAGGGAAGCTCCCTGCAGGCCGGAGCTGCAAGGAGAACGTTCGAGTCAACAGCCTGCACGAGCCTTTCCTGGAAAGCAAAACTATAGAAAATAGTTCAAAGAATGGAAAAAATAAAACATTTCATTACAAAAAAACCTCCTTTAACAAACAGCTGAAGGACAGCGGAGAAGCCGCAGAACAAACGTTACTTCTCATTTGCATGATTGGAGAGAACAAGACTTTGAAGATGCCTCTCGACAGTTTTATAATAAAAATAAAAATCTGTGGTAGAAAAATGTCGCTGGATGAAAATCACTCATAAAAATGTTTAATTCATGTTCTGACTTCAGTTAAAAAACATCAAATGTCTGTATTTTGTAGACATTCGCTGGTTGAATGCGTTCTAATAATGCATATTTTTAAAAAGCGCTTCCTCCTCAAGGCCTCCTGCTTTTGATGCGACTATATTTGTAACGAACTACGAGAAACGTCATTTTTAGACGACTTTAAAGCATCGGAAATTTAATTTAAAGGCGTCACTTCGAACTTTTATCATCAAACGACGTGGATTTTGTTGGGCATCACTTCTGTTTGGTTGATCTTTAAAATTAATGTTTAATTTTTTGCTCGTCTGGTAAAGAATTAGATGTTTAAACTTTAACCAGGATTACGTTGTTAACTAAAAGTTAAAAGAAGCTTTATGTTTGTCTTTATGTTTATCTTTGGTGCCCTCATAATGAGACTTTTATTTAAACTAAACTTTGATTTTAAATATTTTAAAAGTCTATAATAATTCTTACAGGGTAAGTTACAACACAGAACATAGAATCACAGTACTTTTGTATTTTTATTTTAAAATTGTGACAACGTTACTAGCTTCTTTCATGAAATGGCAATCTGATTTGGCGTTGGGCAGGTCTTGAACCACCAACCATCAATCGATCATGGTTCCAGTGGTGACGGTGTGAGCTTTCATCACTGAAGCTGGAACCAAAGGAGGCATGGAGAGTAACTCGGTGGCATTGACGTGGAGCACTGAACGTAAAACATGTGTTGGACTCTAACATTTACATCCTGCAACTGTTTGGTGGTGTGGACTCAACGGTTTCGACTCTGCTGCGACCTCCCTTGGTGGCTCAGAGGTGTAACATTGGCAGGTTGACTTCAAAACTCACTCAAGCTGCCTCAATCCTTTCAACAATCACACTACTATGGCTAAAATGCACCGCAGTCCCAGTTTGAAGTGTTGGCAGTATCTTCAGGTGGTATCTGCGACTTGTTGGCCCACAGCATTCATGAGGGCGTCTCCAGAATGTCTCGCAACGATCACAGGGTTCTCAGTGTCCTCACTTGAGTTGCAGACACTCGCAGACTTATCCTGTAATTCTGACATTGTTAAAAATAAAAAAGTTTGTGAAAATTTCCTCACAAAATCTTTATCTGTACCTCATACCCTTCATGATTTGAAGTTATGCCCAGGTTAAAAATAAAAAATAAAAAACACTCCAGCAATAAATGATATTTAATAAAGAACTGGTCCAAATCTGTCTATCTTCAATTCAAACACCTTCTCTAGTAGACAACATGATAAATGTGGGGTTGGCAGCTGAGTCCGGTATGATGAGTGGATGTGCACAACCTAAGGTTGGGCAAATCTTGTACAATACAGGATTTTCAAAAATTGGTTGCTCGAACCCATAATTCACGAAGACGCAAGTGAAAGGTTCTCAGTTGCCAACTATCCCCCCAACTGTCACAGCCCTTAGTTGGGCCCTTTCGCCCAGAACCAGGAAGCCACAGTGCTCTCTCCAATCTACACCATCTATGAAAACATGATTACAACTGCAGAACACCTCCTTTAATGTAGAAGCAATCCTAACACTGCTGCTAGCTAAATAGTTTTGCCTGCCTGTGTGTCACCAAGAAGATCCTCTTCATCCCCACATGTTTGATGCTTACTCTTGTGCAGCTCAGGTGCAGCTACATGGTAGAAGATCGGCATGTGAGTATCCAATCTGTCGTAGGTTATTCCATCGTTTGTTGCTTTCGTGGTCGCAGCTTCATGGGGCTATCGTCACCAGATCCTCAGCAACTGAGAACGTGTATCGTCACCTCGTCCTGTCCAGAACCCCGATACACCGTGACCGTGCTACAGAGGTTTTGTGTATGCTCAAAACTCTCTACGACCTATCACGCATCAGGAACTGACGGTGTTCTTCGTGTGCACCTGAAGACCTCACCACGATCTGGCAAAGACCCTCCATGTTCTGGCTGAGTGTTTACGTTGTGGGAGGATCATTATCCAGTGAAGAAGCTTTAGTTATTTTCAAGAGGATGTGTCCAGAAACATTCTAGAGCTTAATTTCCTCAACGAGCACTGAAAGCCCATTAATCCTCTAATGCACATTAAAAAAGGCTTGCACTCAAGCAAACAGCATCTCCTACAGAAGAGCTCCTCTTGAGGGTCTGAACAAGGGGTAAAACATTCCCTTTCAAGTGAAACAAACATTCATTCATTCCCTTCAGAAAAGCCTCGACTCAAAGTCCCAAACGCGCTGGAATAAAGAAATAAAGTTAAAACAACCTTTCACAAAGACAGTGTTATTACGTCAACATGTACATTTTTATAATTACAGTTGTTGGAACAAGGATCGAACACCTTTCTGGTCCAGCGCTGCTGTTGGTTTAAATCAGCTTATACACAATATACAGGAAAAGACAAAACTGCGCGCGGTTCCTTCTTTTCGTTCGTTAATGCCGCCTCATTCCAAGTGTGTTGCTGGATCGTAGTGCAGTGTGAAGTCCTGAGGCGTTGCAGGATGCTCCTCTCTGCAGCCTCCTCTCAGAAAAACAGCGGCTGGCCGCAGGTTACATGAAAAAATCTTTTGGATTTTCAGCGGAGACGCTCTGGGGGTCTGCCTGGTTGGTGTAAGAGAACTCCTGACTGTCTTCCTGTTTGACTCCCTTCACTTCCTGGTTTTGATACGTCTCTTTTCTCCTGTAGAGGAATCTGGCGGTTACGGCCAGGACGACCACGATCACAAAGATGACAACAGCTATGACACCTGAAAAGCACAAAACATTCACATTTAAAACAGAGATGTGTTTAAATTGAGAAAAGACACATAGAAGAGAGAGCATGGCGGGGCTGTGCAACTACTAAATAATATTTCATACTCGGGTTGTGTAATATGACTGGAAACCAATATCACGATTTTATTTTTTTATCACGAGACACGATATATTGCTTTTTTCCTGCTGATAAAAACTGCATGTATAAGTATTCTGGTAATACATAAAATGCACCAGTGTGATAATTAAGAAACTTATCCATAGTTTTTTTTAATATTTGCATGCAGAAAAGAAAAATCCAAATTAAATTATATGTAACAAACTTGTAGCTACACTCTATATATTTTTATGACCTGGTTTTATAGATCTTTAATTAGGATGGCTCAGTGGCTTTGAACTAAGTGCTACAGGTTTTAGGAGATTAAACAACCTCTAAAATTTAAACACGTCCCGCCTTAAATAGGTCTTACAGCCACAACAGCCATCGTGATGTCTAGTCTGAAGCACCTTGATGCTTTACAGTTTGTTTCATGGTCAATTTTCCTTAAGGATAAAAAATACATAAGCTGCTAGATAATGCTACATTGCATAAACTAACTTAAAACAGGGTGCATCTGATGAGATACAAAGGGGAAAAATACTAGTGAAGGTATGTACCATCTCACAGGGTAACACTGGATTATAGTATCAATCTTACAGTTTGAAAAATCAGCTTTCCAACCTAAACTAAGTATTTTTATTGCTCGACGAGGGAGCGTGCGCAGCCTGTTTGAGTGTCTCTGTGAGACTCATTTCTGCTGCTTTAGTTCTTCGAATTAAACACTATTAACACTAAAAGACGAACATTTGTTTGGGCCAGATTACAGCAAAAATGTGTCAAAGTTTGATTTAAAAATATTCCCTCAAACTCAAAGTTCTCTCTGAAAATCAGCTTCAAGTGTGTGCAGTTTACCATGAACACTGTCCATCAGCGTCTACGTTTTAAACTATTCTAAGACGTGCACGAATGTGGAACGGCAGTTTAATCTTAGTACAATAGCCATGTGAGCACATTATTATTATTATTATTATATTATTTACTTATAATAAGATAGGTTTTGTGGAAGTCAATATTTTTCTGTACGCTTTTGGAGGTGTGGTCGTCAAAAAGAGTTCATTTTGTCCACTTGTGAAAATGATGAAAATTGTGAGCTACCCCGTTCTGAATTTGAGCTTTATACGTTTGTTAAATTTCTATTTACTAACAGATTGTTACCGTATTTTTCGAACTATAAGGCACACTTAAAATCCTTGAACTTTCTCAAAAATCGACAGTGCGCCATATGTTTTAATTCTGGTTGTGCTTACTGACCTCAAACTGATTGCACGTGGTTATTGTGAATGAGTTGAATAAAGTTTGACTTTTCTCACTGTTTTGTTTCGCTTAATGCGCCTCATGTATAAAAACAGACCCGTTCATTGATACTGCGCCTTATAATCCAGTGCGCTTTATAGTACAAAAAAAAAAGGTACTCACAAAACATTAGAAAACTGAACCATCTTCTTAAAATACATGCATTACATCCAAGTGAGGATTTCTATTTAAAAACATCCACATTGTTCACTGGTGTCCGCTTTAAGTTTTGTTCAGCCGCATCGGCTTCGTTTGTCATCATTTTCGTGTGATTGCTCAACTACAAACCGGATTCCAAAAAAGTTGGGACACTAAACAAATTGTGAATAAAAACTGAATGCAATGATGTGGAGGTGCCAACATCTAATATTTTATTCGTAATATAACATAGATGACAGATCAAAAGTTTAATCTGAGTAAATGTAACATTTTAAAGGAAAATATGTTGATTCAAAATTTCACAGTGTCAACAAATCCCAAAAAGTTGGGACAAGTAGCAATAAGTGGCTGGAAAAAGTAAATTGAGCATATAACGAACAGCTGGAAGACCAATTAACACTAATTAGGTCAATTGACAACATGATTGGGTATAAAAAGAGCTTGTCAGAGTGTCAGTGTCTCTCAGAAGCCAAGATGGTAAGAGGATCACCAATTCCACCATTGTTGTGCAGAAAGATAGTGCAGCAATACCAGAATGGTGTTACCCAGCGTAAAATAGCAAAGACAAGTTATCATCATCAACCGTGCATAACATCATCAAAAGATTCAGAGAATCTGGAACAATCGCTGTGCGTAAGGGTCAAGGCCGTAAAACTCTACTGGATGCTCGTGATCTCCGGGCCCTTAAACGTCACTGCACCTCAAACAGGAATGCCACTGTCAAGGAAATAACAGAATGGGCTCAGGAATACTTCCAGAAAGCATTGTCAGTGAACACAATCCACCGTGCCATCCGCCGTTGCCAGCTGAAACTCTACAGTGCAAAGAGGAAGCCATTTCTAAGCAAGCTCCACAAGCTCAGACGTTTGCACTGGGCCAGGGGTCATTTAAAATGGAGTGTGACAAAATGGAAGACTGTTCTGTGGTCAGATGAGTCACGATTTGAAGTTCTTTATGGAACACTGGGACGCCATGTCATCCGGACCAGAGAGGACAAGGATAGCCCAAGTTGTTATCAACGCTCCGTTCAGAAGCCTGCATCACTGATGGTATGGGGTTGCATGAGCGCTTGTGGCATGGGCAGCTTGCATATCTGGAAAGGCACCATTAATGCAGAGAACCATTTTCAGGTTCTAGAACAACATAAGCTCCCATCTAGACGTCGTCTCTTTCAGGGAAGACCCTGCGTTTTTCAACACGATAATGCCAGACCACATTCTGCAGCAATCACAACATCATGGCTACAAAGGAGAAGGATCCGGGTACTGAACTGGCCAGACTGCAGTCCAGATCTTTCACCTATAGAGAACATTTGGCGCATCATAAAGAGGAAGGTGCGACAAAGAAGGCCCAAGACGATTGAACAGTTAGAGGCCTGTATTAGACATGAATGGGAGAGCATTCCTATTTCTAAACTGGAGAAACTGGTCTCCTCTGTCCCCAGACGTCTGTTGAGTGTTGTAAGAAGAAGGGGGATGCCACACAGTGGTAAAAATGGACTTGTCTCAACTTTTTTGGGATTTGTTGATGCCATGAAATTTGGAAACAACAGATTTTTCCCTTAAAATGATACATTCTCTCAGTTTAAACTTTTGATCTGTGATTTGTGTTCTATTCTGAATAAAATATTAGATGTTGGCACCTCCACATCATTGCATTCAGTTTTTATTCACAATTTGTTTAGTGTCCCAACTTTTTTGGAATCCGGTTTGTATAAAAACCCTCTTAGATTGGGTTTTCCAACAGGAAGTAAACTAACAGTTACATTAGGGGTAAAAAAAATCCACAAACTCTTGAAGTCTGTTCAGTTTGTTTCCTTCTGAATTGTTGGGTTCAGTCTTTCACCCTGCGGTCCGTTTGTTCCACTAATTTGAACTTCAGCAGATCGAGTGAAGAATTTCACTCATTTAGACTCTTTTCTTCATCCACACAAAGTTTTATCTAACTGGAATTCCAAAAACAAACAAACATCTGAAATCAATTTCTTTTTGTACGACTTTGGTTTGAAGATAATGGTGAAAAGTTTCTCTGTCGTCTCGGACCAGTTTTAATTAGTTTAGCTCTCTTTTGTGTGCCGCGACACAAAGTCACAAACATTTAGACCGTTTCAAACGACTTGATTCACACAGTTAAAGGAACTATTTCATATTTTCTTTTGATTGAATCTGAGGCAGAGGAAATCGTGAGGAAAAAGAAATGTACATTTGATGTGATATTTTCATCATCTCATCGCTGCTGCAGAGTATTTTCATTGATAAGGTGTTAATCTATGACAAAAAGAAATCCAACGTACAAATAAAACACGATAAAAGATGTACCTCCGATCAGAGCCGAGTCCGTCTTCATGGCATTAACTAAAGGCTGACCAGAACCTACAGAACCAGCTCGGTCTAGAGCAGAAAAGGGAAAGCAGAGAGGAAGAACAAGAAGAAATATATACACAGGAATAAGGAGCAGGACAAATTAGGTTTAATGGTGTACATACCATAAAGATTTAAAAAGGTTAAAGCAGAAAAAAACAGTGCAACATTTAGAGACAATAAAATTTGGAGCAACAATCCAACAAGCTTTATTAAAGGGTCATAAAACTGTTTGAGAACCAGACTGGAGGAAATAAATGCCAAAGGAACTCCCCTCTTTGGTTCAAATTAATTATCTTCCCAAGCACATTATTATGCGTCTCCTTAACGAGGTGCCCATTCTTAATGAGCGCATATTTTAGTATAAAAAGCAGCTTCTTTAATAGAACTGATAGAAAAGAAACAAAGAAGCCTGAAAAAGAAATGCTGCTCAACTGCTTTGCCACAAAACTGCTAATTAAACTAATCGCGTGGCAGCAACTCAGAGATTTAGGCCTGTAGACGTGAAGGCGACGTGCTCAAGTTCAAACATCACTTAAGGATTTACGTGACTTTGAATGTGGCATAGTTGTTGGGGCCAGACGGGCTGGTCAGATGTTTCAGAAACTGCTGATCTACAGGCATTTCCACCCCAAACCATCTCTGGGTTTTACAGAGAACGGTCCAAAAAAGAGAAAGTGAGAGCAGCAGTTGTGTGGGTGAAGTCAGAGGACAGACAGGTTGGAGGTGATGGAAAGGCAGCAGTAGCTCCAACAACCACTCGTTTCAACCAAAGTCTGCAGAGCACCATCTCTGATCGCTCAACAGCCTCGAAGAAGAAGACCTCACCGGGTACCACTTCCTGCCAGCTAAGAACAGGAAACTAAGGCTACCTTGGCAGCCATCTTGGATTTTGATGTGACAACATAATTTATGTTAATGATCTTTATTAGGCCTTGATGCAAACACACACCATAATGGATGTTGGTATCTCACTTATTTTTCAAGTTATCATGCTCACAACACTCAGAAAGGTTATTTCTAATTAAAAAGAAGGTCTCAGTGCTCATTTCAGTCTTGTAGCTGTAAGCAACAGTTTCCTGTTTGCAGCCTGTTTGTGGTGTGGAACATGTTTCTCAGCCAATTTTAATGCATCACCCATCTGCTGTGAACTTCAGCACCATCTGTGGTTCCAACGAGCGCGAGACCAGGTGATTATTTCCAGGACAAGAGAAACAAGGCCGTGCTTCTTTATGAAGCAACGTTACAGCTGCGGCCTGGGCTAAACATTTACCGCCGAGTGTTTTCTGACGCCCATCTGCCTCCCATCCTGCGTGCGTAACTCCTCATCTGAAGCTTGCGAGTGATTTTACACAAAGATTATTTAATTCAGAACACCAACAAGTACCCCTGTGCAGCATATCAGTGAAAACAAACCAAACTTTCACCAAATCGCTTTGATTTCATAAATATAACAGGATCCTGAATTAAATTAGAATTTTTTTACTGCATGAAGGTTATGACACAATATATCAAGAAAAGATGACAAACATTTAGAACAGAAACATGAGTCTCCTGTAGACATATTTTGTGTCAAAAGCTCACTTCCTGAAAGTTTTCAAGAGAATCAAACCAAGCCCCGCCCCCTTCTACCTGATAGGTGGTGTGTGTCCTCAGCTGAGTAGGGATTGGCTGAAGCTGAAGAGCCACAGTTGGACTGGACTAAAGGTCCGGAGATGAAAACGGGGCTGGTGTTTGGGTTCAGAAGAGCTGCTTTCAGAGGGCTGATGGAGTTGAAGAGAACCACCGACAGACAGCCGGTGAAACCCAGAGACCCGAGCCGGACCAGGTCCGGATCCAACTCATTGGACTCTGATGAGAGACAAAAATCTGCATAGATTATTTTGTTCTTTAAAGTCAGAAACAATTAAAGTACCTATTTTTTCTTGTATTTGATTAGCCTGTTAACACAGCTACTTACAGTTTATGTATTTTAGAGTTATTATATTTTTTATTATCTTTGATAATCAGCTCAAAGATTGACATGTTATAATTTGTGGTTTAGTGTTGAGTTTTAATACAATCATGTTCATTTTTCTGTTGTGTTTTTTTAGTAAATTTTTTGTTTAGTTGCCTTTTTGATTTTGTTATGAATACAAGTATTAAAAAAACAAAGATTTTAAATCGTGTCCGTTATTTTCGTTTAGAAAAACAAAACCCTTGGCCCACATAAAAAGGAGGTGACAATTTCTCAAATTGGAGCGTTTGGCGGCCGACTGCCAACCACAACCTGATGTCAACGCTCAGAAAACCTCGTTCTCCAGCCCATAAACAGCAAAGTGTATAAATAATTCGGCTTTGACCAGATTTATTTTGTAGAACACACAATTTTAGGGGCCAAGAGCTGTTTGCATATGGATGATAAGAGCAAACTGAAAAAAGTCACTGTTGTCAAATAACCTGTTTGTGTGCACAGAGCTTCAGTTCATTATATTTTCTGCTTTCTCCACACACCTCATTAGACCCTCACAGGGTGGTCCAGCATCATGCACCATATAGTCTGGTGTGGTACGTCAGGAAATAGCCCAAAATGAAAGGTTTTTGTCCATGTTGATTTTATTTGTTTTTGTCTTGGTTAGGGGTCAAATAAGCCTGAAATATTGGGATTCAATTTTTCAAGCCTCTTGACCTCATTTTATGACACTTTGTCAAAATGGCCACTTCCAGGTTGAATATGTGACATAATGACCCCTGTACGTTAGACACAATCACAAACTTCGTGTCTAAACTTGTGTTTTTGAATACGAGGAATGTCATGGAATATTCTGAATTGACAACGGAGAGGCAGAATCCTTAAAAATCCAATATGGCCACCAGAAAATACAAAAACTTCCACTATTTTCCATCTGAGAGTGATGTGATGGTTATTACAGACACTATTTGATCAGTTTCAAATGTAAAAACTCATTTTCTTTCCAACTGCAGATTTTATCTTTATACAGCTATCGCCCACTATCACTGAATGGGAATTGTTATTTATTTAGTTATTATGCTAAACATTTTAAGAACAATCACAGAGCTGAAACATTTTTATTCATCTGTATTTGGGACTGAAACAGAGCCTGGCTCAACCCGTTGTGATTTTAGGTCCAGTTTATTATCACCCACTGCCAGAGGAGAAGGCGGAGCGATCATGTTTTAGCCCAGGTCTGCGTTTGATTCTTTACACCATTAGTAAAATCTCTCAAGGACCAGTGAACGATGACTGGACATGGACTGCGGACATCCACAACTGATTAAATGTTGGTGTCAATCTTTTTCAATTCAGTTTATTTATAAAGCACCAAGTCACAACAGAAGTCGTCTCAGGGCACTGAAGCATTCAATACATAAAAAATAAAGTTAACATTATTTATATGAGGAGCAGACTGCTTTGAGTTTAACTATATCCAAAGATAGATAGATATATTTTTTATTTTATTTTATTTTTTTCCAAAGTTCTGCCATTAACCAGACCTTTATTTACAACAGAGTGGGTTACAGACGATGCACTGATTCTCATTTCTACCCACATCAGCTCATAGACATTCAGTACAGCAAACTGTTACACATTCTGCTTCCAAGTCTGCATCCATCACTTCATGAGACAAATTAGTGCGCTCCACCTTTATCTGTTAGTTTGAGTGACTTGACTCTCCATCATTCATGTGCGCTCCTTCACAGAGGTGTAAACAGCAGCTGTCGGAGCCGACACCACCGTGGCAAACAGCTGCATCAGTGTCTGATCAGACGACTGAAAGCTGACTGGGGTTTTCTTTTCCACCTGAACACATCTGCATGTTGATGAGAGCGTCGGGAAACGAGCTCCTCTCAGCTGACGCTCTGCTCGCTGCGTCACGTCTCCGCCTCCGTCGCTCGTTCTCCTTCTGGGTCCATTAGTTAGACTGATGGATGAGGAGGTTGGGAGGAAACGACAGAAAATCCACTTCGCTGCTGTTTTTTTTTCTGATCCTGATCCGTCTCTCTGCCGTCTCCAGTTTGACAGAGGGGATGATGGGTCACACGCCGACATGACGGGGTTGAACCGCACAAATAACACTGAGCTGAGAGCAACGCTTTATCAGGAAAGACAGAATTTATATACTTTGAATCGATTAAGAGCTTAAACTCTGCCTTTTGTGCCAGAATTTTAAAACAAAATCATCTTATGTTGGTCACTTTGGTCAAGCGTGATCTCATGAGACACGAGATGTCTCGCTTAGCGTTGAGGATGACTCTCAGCTACAACCACAGCTAATTTTAGCTCAGTAGCTGTAAAGCTGACAGAGTTACGGCCATTTTTGTGTTTGCTAATGTCGGTCAGCTGTGGCGGCCATCTTGTATTGCAATAACTTTAAACGTTAATTTGTTGTAGATTTACATCTGTCATCATTTACTAAAAGTTTCATTAAAATTAATCATGTGGTTCATGAGATATTTTGCTAACAGAGAATGAATACATCCACAGACATGAACAAAAACGTGTCTGTCTTTTGGTGGTGGGTAGTAAATTTTTATAATAACCTATTACCGTATTTTAACTTATACGCCGCACAATTTTGCATAAATGTGCGACTTATACAGCGAAGCAACTTATTTATGTTTTTTTCCACTTTATTAGACATATTGGACTGATGCTACAATGTACGGCGGAAATTATTGTAATTGTTGTCACAAAAAAGCATACTTGGCAAATTGTAAAATTTATTCACTAAATCTTTTATTAGGATGCTCACTTTAATGTAAATTCTTAGGTATAATCTGAAAAAAAAGAGGTCTCTTTTAAAAAGCTGAGTCAGGTTTTGTCATTAATAACTAATGTGGTTCGTTTTAAAGCTGCAGAGCTCTGCTGTGGCTGCAGCCGGCGGCCTCTCAGCCCCTCGTCTTATTAACAGCTTCTTTCCCAGCAGCCTTTGATGGAGCAGCTCAGCACCAACATGAATAAGTCATGGTGGAACCAATTACTGTCTCACCTCGACTCCGCAACATGTCCCCGTCCAGGAGGACAAACACGACTTCCGTGGAAACGCCCGATGCGTTGACGCGGAAGGAAAGCCTACAATCTGCTTTGACCACGACACATCTTGGTGTAAAGTTGCTGAAACTCATCGGTAACTCTGATAAATTACAGCTGGTAAAACCGTCCTTCATCGTTTTGATATCTGGACGTTCATCGCGCTCATCTGTCGGCGTAACGCGATTTACCGCCGCAGCAAAAACAAGCTGCATCCTTCACAAGAAAGTTTCAACAAAAACTAATTAAACGATCCATTACGAAGGTAACTTATCAGTCTCTTCGAAATGGCAGGTCTCTGAAGGCTTTGTTAGCGAAATGCAAACCTGCACTATTTTGTGAACTTTGCAGAGTGTGATTGATTCAGTGGAGCGGCTGCCCGGTGAGCTGCCTGATTAAATGAGATGCAGGACTGTTGTGCTTCAAATGTGGCAGCGTGGCAGAAATGAAAGTTTAGTACAGGAGAAATGTCCTCAGGTTTTATTGACTCACTGACTAATATTATATGATGTTACTCCAATTTAAAGGTGGATTTGAACGGTGAATGTTGGTAGTTTTTTTTTTAAGTTGAGTGTTTTTCTGCGCTGGAACTGAACAGGGAATGTAAGTAAACCTTAATGTTTTTGGTGCGAGATGTTCCAGAGGGCAGGAGCTACACGGTGTAGAACTTTTTTTTTAATTGTCCGAGGCGGTGCAGCGTGACGGATCCTGGTGAGTGGAAGGAATAATTTTATCCACTACCAGAGGAATGGCAGAGCTAGTGGGTGGCCAACAGTGGCCTTGACCACCATACATTAATATTTGGCCACCCTAATCATTTGATCTCATGCCCATAAGATGTACGGATGGACAGAGGGCGTTTCCAGTTACCTCCTTCGCTCCACGACAGGGGACAACTACACGCGAGACAAACATGGTTAACTGGGACTACATCTGGGTTACGTGCTTCTGACAAGCGGTCCAGCTGCAGTTTAAACCTCCGTCTGACCAGACTAAATATTTGCAGTGAAAGCTTTGATGGAATTTAAAATGAGGTGTTGAATATATTTAAAGTTTTAGTGTACTACTGTACTTTATGTCTTGCAAAAAAGGCAAAATGGTGAGTGGACTGAAGCCACATAAAGAATAGAAATGTACACTTAACCATTTAGGTTCATAGGTTTTGCACCACATAAACCATATTACAATTTTAAAAGTTTTTTTATGGGTTTGTCGTCTTGATGAGATCAAATCTGTGTCAGTTTATAGTGAACTGCTTGCAGACTGTACAAGATGAATTGGGGATTGGGTATCTTGCTCAGAGACCACAACATGTGGGAATGACTGGGAATCAAACCTGGGACTTATGGGTCTCGAGTCGGCTGCCCTGCCTCTACCCCATCATCATCTCGGCCCCCCATCAAAAAGTTACAAAAGAGAGAAGAAAACAAGCAGAAACACTGTCAGAAGAAGAAGACAAAGACGTTCACCAGTCAGGGACCACAAGGACACTAAAACTGTCTGATTTCTGTTGAGACCTGACTCAAACTTCAAACCTTCTGAAAAGACAGTTGAGGAACGAGCACCTTATCACCCCCTACTGGACTGGAGGGAACCTGGAGATGTTTGAGGCAAACTGTGGTGGACATGGCTCAAAAAAAGATTAGAATATTAATGCTAACACACTGCACACGTGGACACAGCAGCCTGCGAGGAGGCCTCATCACTTCACAATGGTGTCACAAGCATTTGTAATGAGGGGGGGAACACATTGGTGGTGGTGGTGGTGGTGGTGGGGGGTCTTCCCCCAGAAAATTCTGAATAAAGTAGATTTTCTGCATTCTGTTTTATTTTAATGGGTTGTTAAACATATATATGTTTCCCTACATAAGTAAACACTTGATTCAATATCTATTTTAGAGATCACGGCACAAGAAGAAGTAGCAGCCCGCTTCTCTCACGCATCCCAACACCTCCCACCCCAGTCAACAACTGCCAGGACTAATGTAGTGCTAAGCTAGCGACGCGCAATACAGGCTCACTAGCTAAGATGGATTCATTCACTAAAATACAAACAGCGCTGGGTGAACTAATATTTCATGATAAAGTGTGTGTGTGGTCCAAACAAATTGTTAGGGGGACATGTTCCCTTCACATATAATTGATGTGACGCCCAGGTCACTTCATCACAATACTGATGCGTGGCACCGGCTTACTTTTTCACGTCGGCTGTTTTGCCTCTGTTACTACTTCGCTTTGCAAGACAGAGGCGCACCAAGAACGGATCGGCTCCAACCCCCCTAACCACCTTGATTCATTCAGAAATCACACAAAAGGTGCCTACAGATGGTCTACGTCCCAACCTGAACTGTCTTGTGAGTATGATCCCGTGAATCAGGAAAAAATAAATAAATAAAAACATTTGAAGAGGAATGACACTGGAATTAGATGTTAAAAATAAAAGTTTAGACCATTAAAAAAAAGGCTAAAATCCACAACACATTAAGCAAGATGTAGCCTAATAATCTCACACTTTAAATCCTATTCAGGACTTTATGTAACAGTTTTTACCAACCTGGTCTAGTTTAAAATAGACCAGGATTTGAAAGCAGCTTGAATTATTGGATTTTGTTTTTCCAGCAGTTTTTACACTTTTTCCCCCCCCAGATAGTTTGAATCCTCAGTCCTGGTGAAAACATCTGCTTCTTTGCTACATCCAGTGAGAAACGAGACCAAACTATTTTAGTTGTTATTCAAACGTCTGAGTGCTTTCAGTGCCTCGTTTCTTACCCTGCACTCTGCCCAAAACGAGAGACTTGATGCCGATTAAATCTCCATAAGATGTCAGGTTGAAGTGTTCTCTGGCATTGTGGTCGACCTGAAAACAGTAAAATAAAAATAATAAAGCTTATGCTGAAACAACAGGCCTTTTAATGGTATAACATGAAGACTTTCAGTTAAGAGTTGTGAAAAATGACGAGGCGTGCACCAAGCGCGCGTTCCGTGAACCAACACTGCATCCGAATGAAATGTTAAAACTTCTGAAACATTTCTTGCGCTCTAAAGAAACACTCGTTCAGAACGATAGAAACTGATAAAACAAGACTCGTATTTCACGGAGAATCAAGAGGCTGCACCGAAGCACGACCAGGTCACCTTGTTGTTCATCTCGGCGTGTTTATAATTATACAGACACTCCGGCTGCTGCTCAGATACGTTTCCCCTCGTTTATCATCTGAAGCCGTTAACAAGATAGGCGATTCAGTAAGCCCAGATATGATTAGGTCGCTTCATATTTCATCGTGTTTCGCGGCTCTGTCGGAGCTGCATCCAGAACAAAGGCTGACGTGACACCAAAGTGCTGACTCGTAGCTTCGTTTTGAAGAGGAATTAACCGTTCTGTGTGCCCTTGAGATGCGGTGAATGTAGACATTCAAAAGTTTCATGTTAATCCACTTTGTTTACATCAAACGCAGCACGTGAAACGACAGCAGCTGCGGTTTAACAGCACCGAGCGCCAGCATGTAACGCACGAATCTGCATGATGAAAAGCCCCGAGCGCTGGGTTCAGACTCAGAAAATGAATCCTGAGCAGCGACACGGCCGGTGTGGGCACAAGAATCCGCCCAGTCAGAATCAAAAATGCTTAATTTGTCCCAGTGGAGGGATTTGATCGGAGCTTGCGGCACGTGCGCTGTCGTGCAACGAGACGGAAACGCAGCTCGAGTGCAAAAATCACCAGATACAAGTCAGTTAACGTTCACTCCAATCAGCGGTGTAAAAAAAAAAAAAATTTTGTGTTCCTTTATAATTTTGGTTTATAAAAGAGTAACACAGAACAGAAGAAAACTTGTGATTAGAGCTGGAACGCCTGTTTATTTACCATTAAATGGTTCCACGTTTGGTAGGAAAACGTATTTATGAAAAACCTCAGATCTTCTCTGCAGGTGTCAAACGGCTTATTCAGCTTTTGAACCCCGCTTTGTGCTCCTGCGACCCAAAGGTGCCCCCATCAGGCACCTGATTGTCAGCACGTGAGAAACCAGTGGATACCTCATATCTCCACAGTCTGGGGCCCAACTATCCTCCAAGACGACAACGCTCACCCCCGCACATCAGGTTCATCAGAGACTACCTCCTGAATTTGTGGGTGGAGAGGATGGAAAGGTGTGCCTGCAGCCCCGCCCCATTGAACTGTGGGATCAGCTCTTTGTTCCAGGTGCGCCGACCCTGGTTTAAAACTCGGGGTGACTGATCCTTTCAGGATGTAGCCCCCAGACTGTGGAATCCCGTCTCTTCGTGCGGCTCTCCGTTGATTCCTTTAAAAAGCAGCGAAGACATTTTTATTCAGACAAGCTTGTAGTTAAATATTTTACTTTCTGTTTTTATCAGCTGTTCTTGTTTGTGTTTTTATTTTAAGTCTGCATTTTGTATTTCTCTAAAGCACTTTATGATTTTATCTATGAAAAGTGCTGTATAAATAAAGTTCACTTACATCAAATGTTCATTAAAGAATGAAATGCTGTCCCGCAGCAGTGCGTGACTGCTGGTGAGAAGGATTTGCCCGACTGTTGTGGCTGTGTGTGGTTCTTCCACATGCAAATTACCAAGTTGTTTCATTCCGTCCAGTAAACGACAAACAAAAGTCAAAAGCTGTTTGGCAGTAAAGATCTGGCCAGTTTTCCTCGGCACAACCCATAAACCCAACTCTGCTGCTCAACTCACAAATGCCTTTTTCAACAAACGTGGCACCATTTAGCAAATAAACAAACAAGCTTTCCAATAGTCCAAGATTCACTGCCAAGAAGAAAAGTTACAACAAAAACATATTTAACCAAACACAAATTTCTTAACTTTTTTTGTGCCAAGTGTCTCAAACAAAAGAGAAAGTTGTTTCTGTTGCCTGTTGGTATTTTTTAATTTTGCAGCAACCTGCCAAGGACGGCAGAACAGAATGAGTCTGGACGGTTCAATCCGTCACACGATGCGCTTGTTGTCCTCAAGTGCAATGTCCTAATAAATAAATACATTTAAACTAAATTACCTGCACAGACACGAAGTCCGCCGACCGTCTGACGGTAACCGTGTGCAGCTGGCCGTTGGCCACGCCCCTCACGCTGCTCCTCAACACGTCAGCGTCTCTGCTGTTGTCCAGCTTGTATCTCAACTCCAGCTCATCTTCACTCACAAGAAATAAAAAACACATTGGAGACGTCAACAATATTTCAGCTTAAATTAGTTCTATAAATGTTTTAGTCAAGGTTTGTCTTCGGCTGAAAAAGATCTGGCAGTGGTTTTGTAATCTGCGCCAACAGGGTAAGATTACATTTTTAATCTGTCAAACATAGGCTTGTGTTTCTGCGCTCTATTAATTAAGATTTCTACATTAAGAGGATCAGAGCTAATTCTCTATCCAGAGCTGGTCCCGAGCAAATCGAGTGCAGACTTAACAAAAGCCTCAAGCACTGAAGGTTTCGGCTAAAACAAGAGAAAATTAACAAACGTTTTCAAGAAATGCAGCGGAAACTTTGTGCAAATATAAATAATTATTGTAAACTGTTGCAAATACAACTTACTCCCTGTTTTCAGGAGGTATTGAGGGATTTGTTCGAGGCTTTTATCTACTTGATCTTACTGTAAAAAAAGAAACCTGCAGTAAAATCTGTGTTTGGGTTCAGGAGGAGGTTTATCTGCAGTCACGGCTAAAACACATTTAGCCACCCAAGAGCAAACAATTTCCAGCTCTCAGGTGTCTAATTGGGTGTTTCGTTTTAAGAAGTCAGCACAAAACCTGGACGTCCTGCGTTTTATCAGCTGCCTCCGAGTCATTAACAGAAACAAAAATCCATTTACAGCTAATCGAGCTGCAAACTCCCATTTCTATTAGACTCCTGGATGCAGAACATCTGAACTGAACGCGACTCCCGCGACTCAGAAAAGCAGAAACGACATCGTATCTCACCCAGAAAACAAGTTTTCAGCCGCCTCACGTCGGCAGCGACCCGACCTGTCGGCTATTAGCACCCCGGCAGATTCTTATTCCTGCAGCCTCAGTGATAAGAGCAGGAAACTCTTTAAGAGTTGTAACCAAATACAGCAGCTGGGTGGACTGGGAAGATGAAAAGGTGAATTGAGACGGGACATTTTAGAGATATTTTCTATAGAACGTGAGGAAGAGCAAAAGGATGACGAGCAGCTGATCCGGGAGGAGAAGTGAAAAACGCATCTAGAAAATGTTAAAAGGAGAAAAACGAGTCGAAGGGAAAATATTTTAAACTGAACGTACGAGGTTTAAAAATGGAGTTGTAGCCAAAATCAAACTGGGAATGACTCTCAGCTACTACCACAACAGATTTTAGCACATTAGCTGTAAATGACAGAAATATAGCCATCTGTGTGCTTTCTAAGCTCAGTTGATTGAGGTGGCCATTTTGAACTGAGCTGACTCCAAATGTCAATCAGTTGTTGATGTTCATCCAGTGGTTATTTCCTGACGGTTTCAGTAATATAAGCGTAATGGTTTATAAGATATTTTGCTAACAGACTGAGTAGACTCCACATATTTAATAGAAACATTTTAATCAAAGATCTTCCACAGTCTGTGTGTACCTAAACACATGTGGAGAATCAGTCTCAGCTACAGAAATTCAGGTCAGTGTCCACAAAAAGGACCGAGTTGTGGCCACTTTTGTGTTTTTTAATGTCAGTTGGTTGTGGCAGCCATCTTGAATTGGATCGGCTCCAAACGTTAATGTACAGCCGATTATGACTTCCTGAAAATTTTATTTAAAATCTTCCAGTGGTTCATACGATATTTTGCTAACAGAAAGACACAAATCAAAAACATTGGTGTCCCTGCTTCACCAGCAGGCGAAAGATTAAACAGCCATGCACATTTTACAAGCTTTCTCATATGCAGACAGATCTGTTTCATTCATTTTAATATTATTCGCAGGTTTAACAGTAAAACCATTTTTTTGTGACGGCGTGCAAATGCAACACTGAAACACAGCCGTCGACCTCAAACCACTTCCAGTCTGTTCCCAGACTGTAAACAGAAGCTGTGGACTCAGTCTGGTTTAAACACGGCAGGAAATGAAACAAATATGACGTGTATTTTCAGTTCAGTTGTTTTCTTGAACACACACACGCTGCACACGAAGAAGAGAGGAAACCAGAGAAGAGCAGGGCATGAAAAACACAGAAGGTTTAAATCAGACATCAGCTCGTTAAGTGTTTGGAGGTGGAAGCCTCACCGTGCTGGTTGATGAGCAGGACCAGGTACTCTCTGTAGTGGGAGCTGACGAAGAGGAGCAGAGCTGGACTCTGAGCCGTCCTGAAGCTCAGGGAAACATTTTCTCCTCTTAGCGTCATGTCAGAGGTGACGGAGGGCAGGCTGCTGCTGTTTCTGCTCCACTCGTAGGGCTCCTTGAAGGCGTATCTGATGGACGTGCCAGATTTGAAGCTAGCTGACACCTCTGGAAGACGATAGAAATATAAATATCACAAGTCTTTACTCACTCCTGCTCTCGCTGCGTATCGCTGCCAAACTTCCTTCAACTTCTGCATTTTTCTTCTTCTTCCTGTAGATTTTTTGGCAGTTGACAAATAACTTAAGCCTCAGTCAGAAAGGAGATAAGGGGGTTGTTTGTTTTTGTGGAGGGGGTGAGAATGAATGGGGGTGTTTCCTCCATGATATTGCTCGTCTTCGCAGAAGCCTCCAGCCTTGTGTAGTCACGCCTCATACAGGTGCTGGTCATAAAATGAGAATATTTTCTTCTTCTTCTTCTTGTATTGTTTTATGGCGGTTGGCAGACCAACTGTAAGGTGCATTACCGCCACCTACTGAGCTGGAGTGTGGGCAGAAGATATACAGGAGAGGAGAAAAAAAAAAAAAAAAAAAAAAAAAAAAAAAAAAAAAAAAAAAAAAAACCAATAATAATAATAATAGTAATATTAAATAAAATAAAATAAAAATAGATAGATAAATAAATAAACAAAATAAATTAATAATAATATGTAAAATATATAAATAAATAATATTAATAATAATAATAATTCTGTGAAATAACTTCACATCTATATTTCATCTAAATTCTCTCCATTAAATTTGTTTTTTTCAAGAAAATAATAATTTGATCTTTGACTTTACCAGCATCACTACTAAAGATATCATTAATTGTAAATTTTTTATTCATTTTAGTTATTTCTTTTTGGAAATGTCTTCTTTCTAATTCATATCCACAACATTCCATAAAATGAGAATATTGTGTAAAGGTTCAGTATTGAAGACACCTGGTGCCACACTCTAATCAGCCAATTAACTCAAAACACCTGCAAAGACCTTTAAATGGTCTCTCAGTCCTGTTCTGTAGCTACACAATCATGGGGAAGACTGCTGACTTGACAGTTGTCCAAAAGACGATCAGTGACACCTTGCACAAGGAGGGCAAGACACAAAAGGTCATTGCTAAAGAGTCTGGCTGTTCACAGAGCTCTGTGTCCAAGCACATTCATAGAGAGGTGAAGGGAAGGAAAAGATGTGGTAGATAAAAAGTGTATAAGCAATAGGGATAACCGCACCCTGGAGAGGATGGTGAAACAGGGGAGGTTCACAAAGAGTGGACTGCAGCTGGATTCAGTGCTTCAAGAACCACCACGCATAGACGTATGCAAGACATGGGTTTCAGCTGTCGCATTCCTTGCGTTAAGCCACTCTTGAACAAGAGACCACATCAGAAGCATCTCAACTGGGCTAAAGACAAAAAGGACTGGACTGCTGCTGAGTGGTCCAAAGTTCTGTTCTCTGATGAAAGTAAATTTTGCATTTACTTTGCAAATCAAGGTCCCAGAGTCTGGAGGAAGAGAGGAGGCACAGAATCCATGTTGCTTGAGGTCTAGTGTCAAGTTTCCACAGTCAATAATGACTTAGGGGCCATGTCATCTGCTGGTGTTGGTCCACTGTGTTTTCTGAGGTCCAAGGTCAATGCAGCCGTGTACCAAGAAGTTTTAGAGACTTCCTGCTTCCTGCTGCTGATCAACTTTATGGAGATGCAGATTTCATTTTCCAACAGGACTTGACACCTGCACACAGTGCCAAACTACCAGGACCTGGTTTAAGGACCATGGTATCCCTGTTCTTAATTGTCCAACAAAATCTCCTGACCTTAATCCATAGAAAATCTATGTGGTGTTGTGAAGAAGAAGATGTGATACACCAGAGCCAACAATTCAGAAGAGCTGAAGGCCACGATCAGAGCAACCTGGGCTCTCAGAACACCTGAGCAGAGCCACAGACTGATGGACTCCATGTCATGTTGCATTACAGCAGTAATCCAGACAAAAAGGAGCAACAACTAAGTATTGAGTGCTGCACATGCTCATACTTTTCATGTTCATACTTTTCAGTTGGCCAACATTTCTAAAAAACATTTTTTTATTGGTCTTAAGCAATATTCTAATTTTCTGAAATACTGAATTTGGGGTTTTCATTAGTTGTCAGTTATAATCATCAACATTAAAAGAAATAAACATTTGAAATATATCAGTCTGTGTGTAATGAATTAATATAATATACAAGTTTCACTTTTTGAATGGAATTACTGAAATAAATCAACTTTTTTTATGATATTCTAATTTCACGACCAGCACCTGTATGTGAAAGTGAAGCGGCTGTTTCCAAAGACGCAACTGAAACAGATTGAATGTTTTTAAAGCCAGTTTGTGTTACTTCTCATTGTTTTCCACAGAACACAAGTATTTGTTAAGTCCATCACATTTTGCTGGATATGTAATATAAAAAATGATCAATGTTGGACTTTAAAGAAACTTAAAGAGTTAAATAGCACAATGTATGGCCTATGAGAAGGATTCTTTCTTGGTTTCAATCACTTGAAACCTTAAAATAACAACAGTAACTTTTTAAAACTGACATAAAAAACTTAAAGAAACTAAACAGACAGAAATAAATATTCATACAAGTAACTGACTCACTGCTTTTTAAAAACACTTTGCAGAGGAAAGGGCCAAAGTTAGGGTGCAAGAAAAAAAAACTTCAGTCTGCTTACTTTAAGAGATTAAACAAACAGCACATCTAAAAACTTTACGTATTTTTAGAGCTGCGTGTTCCTGCTTTTGATTTCCCAAACAGTCTCGGCTCAGCCTGTGAAATATTAAACAGTGAGTGAGTCAGCGTGACTCAGACAGACAAACAAAGCTGTGGGAGACGAGCGCTGCAGAGACGGCAGATACAGTATCAAACTTGGTTAAAAGGATCCTTCAACTCAGAGACGCCTGAACTGAACTAATGAAAAGGTTAAAGGTCAGAGTTGCCACTTTAACTCCAAACATTTCAGTGAAATTAACTCCAGCACATCAAACGTGCATTAAGAACTGTTGGTGTCAAACAGTGTGTTTGTGTGTACCTGTGTGGCAGAACACCCCGGTGTAAGCAGACGCGCTGCAGTCGCAGTAGAAGCCGTTGACTCGCTCCGCACAGCGGCCCTGGTTCTGACAGAGCGAGCCGTAGCTGCTGCAGTGACCCGGGCAGCCGGGCCGGACCCCAGGCGTGATCTTCGCCCTTTCCTCCAGGTCCAGGGTGACGCCGTTCAGCTGCAGAGAGCGAATACATCCCCGGAAGCCCCTCTGCCTGGACGCTGTGCCGCCTGCAGACAAGAAATAAATTAAGAAAAACATGATTAAAGTACCGTAATTTTCACTGTACAAGTCACAGTATTTTGCATAAATTAGCATGTCTGAGACTTATACAGCGAAGCGACGTATTTACATTTTTCCCCCCATATTTAAAACCCAACTTTTGGATGAGATCTCACGATTTCATTTATTCTGACATGGAAAATATTGAACACTACCATTTTCAGCCAGTAGAGGGCGCTCGACTTATATGGCAAGCCAAGTGTCTCATTAATGCATTCAACCTTTATTGAAACAGGTTAGTCCCACTGAGCCACGAGGACTCATTTACAAGAGAGACTTGAATAATAATAGTTAATAGGTAAAAGTGGCTATTAGTGAGACACTTGGCTTGCCATACCTTTGTCTCGCTCTGGAACTCCTGGAGCAAACCTCAAATCAGCTGCATTTTGCTGCGCTGTCCAGGTGAAATGCAGCTGATTTGACCGTCAAAGTGCATTTATTAAGATTTATTAAGGAAAAGTTCAACTGAGACACACCTATACTATAATTTCGAGCAAACAAATAATTGTTTTTAAGTGTTAATCTTGTTAAATTCCTCCCGTGCACGCTTCCGTGGCCGCCATTTGGCAGCCAATCGATTTTTGGCACAACACCGGCCGACATTTCTGGGTTGTCGGCCGTGACGCATAATATATGCAACGTATTTATGTGTTTTTTTTCCATTTTATTAGACATACTTGGACTGATGCCACTTATACAGTGGTGCGACGTGTATGGTGGCAAGTACGGTAAAAACAGAAAAACAGAAAAGGAGCAAGCTCCTACACACAAAACCCACAAAATGTTAGTGTTTTACACAGAACAACAGTCTTCAGTGTTGATGAGCACAGGCCTTTGTAAAAACTGTTTCCTTCACGACTGATGACAGCATAAAGGTTTATAACAATGTTTGCTTAAATGCTATGAAAAATAAAAAAGATTATAATTGTTTTAAGAAGACATTTACTTTGGGACCCAAGTCAACTTTATTTATAGAGCGCATTTAAAACAGAACCTGTTATCAAAGTGCTTAACAACATCAATGGGAGTAAAATTAATGAAAAAATAACATACACTAATAATAATACTGAAGAATTAATAAAAAGCATTTAAAACATAGGATCACAGATTAAAAAACACTAGATCAATTTACACTGTGTGAAATGCCTGAGAGAACAGATGTGTTTTTAGCAGGGATTTGAAGTGAGGAAAGGAGGTGGCCTGCCTGATGTTGGTGTTGAAGGGAGGTGGCCTGCCTGATGTTGGGGGGCAGGTTGAAGGGA